TTTAACCCTCCATTCGGGGGGTTTAGTTTAGTTTCTTACACAAGATTTTAAAACGCAACCAACCCCCCCGAGGGGTTCGTTGCTTTTTAAAAACTTGACCAATCCCTCCGAGGAGCTCCGAAACGTTTAAAATCATATAACACCGTTAACTACAACGGTATAAAATATAATACGAAGGACGATTTCTTCTGCTGTAATTAGCTTACAGCTAATAATCAGACACATTACAATTCAAAGGTTTATCACGTCACGGAATTAGATAAAAACCAATTCAATCAAGTTCATATCATCGCAATCATTTTACGTAATACCAGATTTAGTACTACACTCCTGCACTGACCTTGTCTCACGAGTGGGCCGGCAGTTTCCCTTCCAAAATGTTGTTTGCTTTCCTTATCCGACTTCGTGTCCCATTTCAAGACAATCTCATTGTAGCCTACATAACATTGTGTGTATAAATCATCAACATCATTACTCAGTCCACGTCGATACAGCGAGTGAACTACGTGGACGATTTGCATTAGCAACTTTGTAGGACGAGTCGTGTGAATTGATAATCATATATATCGCAGTTCTCCTATGCGTTCTTAGCACGAAGTGCATAGGGAGAACCCATTATGGGCCGGAGGTCTACGTCGATTCAACTCGAGAACCACTGGATCGATTAGAATTAAATTTGATGTGGAGGTTGTGCTATTCTGCGCGACCTCAAAGACGTACTCCTACGACGGTGATAACAAAATTACAAATGAACAAATTCGTGGACACTGAGGTGTTGCGATGTCGTGACCAAAGTGGCTGGCGAAACCACTGGACGCCATCTGGGGTGCTGTGAATCGTTTCATAACTACTAGTCTTTATGATCAACGGCTGTTGGCTTCAACTTCACTGCTTTAAAATTAGATCATGATCTACGAGATAGTTCAGTCAGTGAAGGTAATGACAATGGAACAAACAGGTTTCGATTCCCGGCAACAACATAAGTTTTTTTCCTTCCGCCAGAATGTTCGAATTGACTCTGACGTCCAGCCAACTTCCTCTCGAGTATATACAAAACAATACTTTATATGCTTTAGTCTTTACTTTTTAGATAGTATAATAAACAAATACACAACAATGACTACAGTTAAACGTTAAATGTCAAAGAGCCTTTAACAAAGGTGCAAGCTGATAAGTACAATTTTCGCCTAAGAAAAACATTGCCAATATCAAGCATGCTAAACGCTGATCTTACTCTGTTAATAATTAACAAACCACGAATTACATTTAACAGTCACTGTGCATGCAATAAGCTCAAGCTGAGATATGAAACCCATCTGTTTCTGTGTACGACAACTATCGTAAACTGTAGAATGACACTGATTTCCTGTCTGTTGTTTCCACAGCCACGCGTCTGCATTTTTCATAGTAAACAAAGTACTTGACTGGGTTTTGATGTTAAGTTCTTTACGCTAATTCACCAGCTGAATTAGATCTGTATTTTATTACTTAATAATAGATTTATTTTATCCATGACATAACATCTCTACAACAAGGAAGCAAGACTCTACTTCAACAGATGTGAATTGCAGGTGACACTAGATGGGAGTGAGTGATTAGCTTCAACCCCGGAGAAGGAGCTCCAGGTACCCATTGGGTGGATATCTACAGGCTGTGGTGATGTGAAAATCTCTGTCACTGCTGGGAATCAAACCCCAGTCGTCCAGTCGACAGATTCTCACTTGCCTTCCGCTTACGATCCAAAACAAGCACAGTGTGCAATATTTCAAAACGAATAACTGTGTTTTAAAACTTTCCGGAGCTATTTTCTCCCTTACATTTTGTATAAGTTTTATCAAAGTATCCAGTAAACTGCATGACGTTAAGTACAGAACATCGAAATGACTTTACTGTATTACAGTTATAAAAATAAAACTGCACCACTCTTTTTAATTTAGTTCTTAACAGTTGAACTCATCGCCCATGTTCCGACATTTCATTCCAAATCTGACACGAGTCGAGCTGATCAATGCTTGCCGGACAAGTAACCAAGGCAACTGAACTAGCGTGTTGTGGCGCTACGCGGTTGGCTCTACTGCCCGCTCTGTTGCTATGCCAATGCGGTGACAAAACAAAAAACAGCCGACCCACCAGAGTTACGAGTACAATGCATAACAAAAACATTCATTCACAAGTTCGTGTTCGTTAATAAACCGGTTTGGAGAACAGAGCAATCACTTGAAAGGATTAGAACATTGCTCCGCACTACAGATTTGCAGTGCAATTATGCCAGACGGAGCAGGAACTCAGACGTGGAACTCAGGACTTGCTAACAGGTCTTACGACTAGAGAAGACCACTTCAGCCAGGTACCAACCTCCAGTGTCCAAAATGACTCATTTTACAATATATCTGTGTTACATAAGAAGTTGTGGGCATTCAAAACGCCACTGGACCCTAACCTGAGTCGGTTCAATTTGTTCCACGGATTAAGTAAATTAACACCATGATGGGTGGTACACATAGAAGAACTGACAGGCACTTATTTGGCCGGTTAAGAATTCACGTGTTATGATACTGGAAAGATCATTAGAGCGCTCACAAAGGCATATAGGCCTACCTAGTTCAATCAAGTTCATCACGTCACACTTTGCATCTCTGAGATAACGTTTAATATCACTCTCTAACCGACAATCAAGTCTCCCAATGATACCTTTCCTTCAGATTTTCCTCATTTGGTATGCGTCTCTCATCTTTCCCATGTCTGAGAATGTCCCACATCACATCCTTCTCAATTAAATTAAATTAAATTAATAATATTGGACGACGAGTGCAAATTATGAGGTTACTCATTATGTAGGTGGTGTACAGCCTTCGTAACCTGGTTTGCATAAGAAATGTACACCTCACAGTATTGCAGTATCGGGGATAAACGGTTCGAACGTCAAGTAGGTTTCTCTTCATTTTCTTAAAAGCACACAGATAAATTTCGGCACAGAGTCTTTAAATACGCGACGTCCGCCTCCTAAATTCTGAGCTCCTAATCATTCATGATAACACTAAAGTGTTACATCAACTATTTGACGTATGTAGTTGAAACAAGGCTATTAAATAAACTAAGAAGCTGCTGATCTAAAGAATAAGATAAATGTTGGTACCATGAAACTGCAATAACGTGATATCTGATGACCTTACGTTACTACGTAAATCTCCCACCTGCTTCCTGTTTCAAAAATCGGTCAAAGATCATCTATTCTCCTTTACGTTTCTGCCCGGAACTTCCAAAACGTTTTACATTTAATGTTTAATAAAAAGAAACAAATTTCTCTTTAAGCTAACCTTAGAGTGATGTCTATTTAAAATCAATGTCTATACACATTCTTTTCTGATTTCCGTGGCAACTATTCACGGCTTACCGGACCACAAGGGAAGTC